CCGGCCCCATCTGCCTCCATCCCGCCGCATCAGTCCGCCCGCCCCCGCCCGCCCCGTCCGCCTCCATCCGCCCTATCTCCGACGCAACCTTCGCCGGCCGCGGCACCGGTCACCCACACAAGAGCCGGCCACAGCTGGTTAAAAGAGTCAATTGATTAAAAAAAAGTGCATTTATTTTCAAACTTACCCTCTCATCCAAACACCACCAAAGGCTAGAGTTAGTTTAAGGTTAGTCTAAAGTTAGAAAATAACTCTAACCTCTAACCAAGTTAGAGTATCCAAACAGGGTTGTTTGAGTTGTTGGGCGAGGCAGCAGATGGATGTGGGGAGGGAGCTGGGCTGGACGTGGAATAATACAGTCAAAAAGTCGAAGGCCTGCGGGTGCAGGGCAGGGCAGGGCATCCTGGAAGGGGCAGGGGCGGGCGTGTATTGGCAGCGAATTGGATTCTTGTTCTCACTCTCTGGAATCCTGTAGAGGCCCGCTGTCGCTTGTGCGGTACACATCCGGCTTTCATGCTACTCTTGTTCCCAAGATAACTGAAGATGGATATGGAAAACTAGTCGGGCACAAGCGATGTATTGGGGCAACTAAATGCTTAGGGATCTAAATGCTCTTATATCTCTTTACAGAGGGAGTATTTAGCACTGGCACAAATCTAGCTAGCTTTTCCACACAAGGAAATGAGACTGACAAAATTCTTTTGTTTGTAATGAGTGATAAATTTCTGATTCCCACACAAATGCTATGCATATGTAAGACTTTCTTTGACAAAAAAGGGACGCTGATACAACCGCACTGAGCCAATACCCAGACTTGCATGACATGATACACATAGCCAACACGCCAGAAGAACCACAAAACTTCGTTTGACAGAAAAAGTAACAGCAAAAAGCATAATATAAGAGCGTTTTTTACACTACTACTAGCGTCGAAAACACTCTAATATTATGGGACTGAGGGAGTAGCACCGAGATCTCCTGGCAGTAAAACACCACAATGCTTTGCCCCAGCTGGTTTTGTAAACTATTTCTTCCCATGCCCTCCCTCTCCCACATTCTTTTCAGTGCACCAAACCACAAGCAAAGAGCAGAAAGATGAGGCCTTTCTCGGGCACCGGGGCTGATCCGTACAGCTGCCATTTGAGTACTGCGACCAGCAACGGTGGCTCAAAGCCCCGGTGCCCAAAGGGCAGGAGTAGTAAATCTCATGACAGATATTACATGGTTTAAAAATGTTACCATCAAGATGAACCAGGCCAATCGTCAACAGGACATGTGTGGGCAAAGCCAGGAAGATGCACGCCTGCACCAGAAAGGTCATCCTTTCTCCCCCTGTGGTCAATGAAAAGCTCGCTTAGAAA